TTGAGTGTATGGTGGTTCTTGCTTGAAGACGCGCTGATCAACTCAACAGTGAAGAAACCTCATTGGCCGTCTTTTTTTTGCTGCCTGCAAATTATTCATATATGTGCACCATATTTTTGTCGCAAAGGGCTAGACCATGTATAGTAATAATAATAATAATAAGTTTAATTTATATATAGCACCTTTCCCAAGCTCAAGGACGCTTAACAATGACAAAAGCAATAGATGGACAATAGACATTTGCCAAGTCCAGAACGTGCGATTGCAGTTGTCATACCACAGTAATATTACAGAATCATAATCACAATCACAAAAAAAATGTATATTTTGAACAGCTGTTAAACTAAATTTGAAAAAAAAAAAAAAAAGTTAACTTTGGTTAGTCATGTCATTAAATAGTAATAATATTCATAGGGGGGAAAAAACTATTTTTGTGAAATGCTACAGTTTATTGGATCTGTATGCATAACTACAAGAAAAAAGTTTGCATATATGTATAGGAGAATATGAAGCTCATACTTGAGGAGGAAAAGCACCTAAATTTTATTCAGAGACCCAGACTGAGCAATCTGATGCAGTTGCTAATATTTATATGGCAAAAAGTATTCTAAAAGCTAGTAATGTAAATAAGTGAGATTTACATTTGCATTCAGTCATTTAGCAGACACTTTTATCCAAAGCGACTTAAAATTTTATCATTTAGATTCTTATAACAGTATAGTCAAATCAAGTCAACTTTATTACTATAGAACCAGTGATGTCACATGGACTGTTTTAACGATGCCCTTACTAACTTTCTGTGCCTTAACTATGGTAGTACCCTTGCTGTCTATGGAGGGTCAGAAAACTCTCGGATTTCATAAAAAATATCTTCATTTGTGTTCCGAAGATGAACGAAGGTCTTATGGGTTTGGAACTACATAAGGGTGAGTAATTAATGACAGAGTTTTCATTTTTGGGTGAACCATCCCTTTAAGTCAGTTCAGTGTGGGTAGTGCCATCAAGTTTTGTTCTCATCCGATGGTGTGAGTCAGTGTGGTTATATTGATAAATTATTAAAATGATTGTCTATCAGACCCATACTAAGCAAGCCAGTGTTTAGTTCAGTTCAGTTCCAGTTGGTTCAGGTCAGATCAATAACAATGTGAAGTTCATCGATTTGAAATGACTTCAATTCAGCTAAAAAAGGCAGCAATGTTGTTTTTCAGCTCAAGGCAGTTCAGTGTTGATTGAATTCAGGTTAGCACCAGTGTTGGTGTTGCAAGATGCAATTCAGCTGTAAAGCAGCTCTACAGAAGATGATAATACCATCATCCAGCTTCATTCAGTTCAACATCTGGTTGTAACATCAGGGGCTGGATTCACGAAAACCTTAAGAAATAAGTTAAACAATTTCTTAAGGTAAATTCCACAAAGTATGTACTTAAGTGCAATTCTTGAAAAATTCTTAATAAGTTCTCAAATATGTTCTTAGGAACATCTTAATTTTTTTTTTCTTAAGTAAAAAATGGCAGTCTTTATCTGACTCAATACATGGCTGAAGACGCACTGATAAACTTACACTTCAAGGATTGTTTTTTTTGTGGTTTCTGCAGATAACCTGCAGACCCTAATAATCATAATAAGCATTTTTGTCGCGACCAGCTTTACTGGGCTCGGTGTTGCATTTTTAATGTGCCGTGTTTTTGAACAGTTACTTTTAAAGAGCCTCTCTCAAGCTGCAGCGATCGGTTTCATTCATTTTTGTGCTGTTTTTGTGCTCTCTTCCGAGTGAATGCTTCCGGTATGTGTGTCCGTTCTATTACAGTAAACGCGTCCTGTGTGTAGGCACGTTTTTGTAGAGTTGTTGCTGAATTTTGAATTCAGTAAAACGTCGCGTTACACACAATCATGACCTGTCATTTTTACATTATCAGTCATCGCTGTCACTTCAGAAAACTCATACACATTGTTAGTCCTACTATTTATTATGTGTAGCTAGTGTTGTTGTATTGCTTAAATATAACAATTTGAAATAACCCAAGAAAATAACCCAGATACGTTTTTTTCTTAAGTTAAAAAATAAGAAAAATAATTCTTTTTTTAAAGAATGTTTTGTGAATCCAGCCCCAGGTGTTAATGTTAGACACTAAATGTGTGGCCACGTGTATAAGTAAATTAATGACTGGATGAATGATTATTTTGTAATATTGTTCAAATAAATATACACTTATCATATACTTATCCCTCTGTCAAGCCCCTTGGAAGAGCTGCAGCTGTCAGTTAACAACAGTTTGGTTGCTAACCATGTGATTATGTAGCATAAATTTGGATACGTCCATTTTAAATGGGTGAATAGGTAATGCCTTGTGTATTGGGGATGAAGGAAATTAACTAAGGATAAAATGACGTGTTCAGCCGGGTACATAACCCTGTTGCCTAGTAACGGCTGCATATTGAGGTGGGCAGGCGGGCTGGGGTGATGACATCACAGATAAAGAGCACAAGCGTGTGTGTTCTCGCACAAGACATCAGACTTTTCAGAAACGTGATAAAGATCCCACCACCCTTCTTATTACAGACCCCTCCTCATACTCAGGGGTGTAACCCTATTTCTTATTTCTTCATTAAGAGCAAAGAAGAGATTCTTTGACATCTAAAAAAAAAAAAATCAGCAGATTTGTCCCTTAGTGTCACAGGAGTTTTTCCAGATAGCATTAGTTCTTCAGACAGTGCTTTTGTGCACAGACTGTCACCCTGGTGTGTTTTGGAGGTAAAGGGAGCATTTTCTGAACGTGCCGTCACAATCTGTGGACTCCTTGCTTAGATGTGGCTCAGCATGAAAGAGTGTGTGAGACATAAACACAGAAAAGGACGAACTTCTGAAGTGCCAGTTGATCCCAGTCTGTTCGGGGACTTCGGCGTAGTGTCTGAACATGATAGTTCTGTTTCAGCTCTGTGTGCTTCTGTATTTTGTGGCCTGCATACAGTTTCCAAAATTACCTTTTTACTATATCTGGCAATGAACTGATCAATTTTTGCCCCTCATACTTTTAATATTAGTCGGTTAATATTTAGAAATAGTTTTCATTTAATACCACCAATATGCCATTTGGTGATATTCCACAATTTAGGTTTTGAGGGGGAAAATGGTAACAGATTAAAGGGTTAATTCACCCAAAAATGAAAATTCTGTTATTAATTACTCACCCTCATGTCGTTCCAAACCCGTAAGACCTTCTTGTTGAATTGAATGAATGTTGAATGAAGTCGGTATTTTTGTTTTCTTTGCATACAAACCAGTATTTTCATAACTTCATAACATTACAGTTGAACCACTGATGTCACATTTTACCGATCAGAGGGTCAGAAAGCTCTCAGATTTCATCAAAAATATCTTAATTTGTTTTCCAAAGATGAATAAAGGTCTTACAGGTTTGGAGCGACATGAGGGTGAGTAATTAATGACAGAATTTTCATTTTTGGGTGAACTAACCCTTTAAATGCATGGACTCATTTATCACTTGCTAAGTTAGACTAAAGTCAAGCTACTCTAGAAAAAGTAGTTTGAAGCTTTTTAAGAGAACTACATTTTCATTATGTAAATTCCACATTATATAACAAGAAATCAGAGCAGTATTTATCTTGCATAAAACTGTTAGGATTTAAATGAGGACACCAGCCTCAGCTGAACACATTCATTTACGCGCACAATGAATAAAAGCACCCTGATTATTTAACTGAAACTGAAAATGTGATTTTAAATTGATAAATTAAAGGCTTAGTTCACCCCCAAAAAATAAACATTTTGGCAAGATTTACTCACCCTCATGTCATACCAAACTTTTTCGTTCATCTTCAAAACAGTGAAGATATTTTAATGAAATGAGATTTCTGTCCCTCCAAAGAAAGTCCATGTAACCAAAACGTTCATGCTCCAAAAAGTTCATAATGACATTGTAAAACGAATTCATATAAATCAAGCATTTAAATCCAAGAGTTCAGAAGAAGCACGATCACTTTATATAATGAACAAAATCAATTTATGCTTTTATTCACAAAAAAAACGTTGATACATTGAGCACATCAAATATGGTAAACATAAACTGAAGCTCAAACTTGATTGACAAGCAAGAACCATTTTGTTAACCTTGAAACAAATCGCCAAAATAAACGCTAAAATGAATCAGACTTCCCAAAGTTACTAGAGGGAGATTTTCTTATTTATACATTTATTGCTTTCTTATTATTGAAAACAGTTGTGCTGCTTTATATTTGTGTGGAATCATTTTGTTGTACTTTTTTCAGCATTATTTGATGATAGAACGTACAAAAGCATTACAAAACATCTTTCGTAACATTATAAATGTCACTTTCATGATTTATTGCTTCATTTCCATTTTTGGTTAAAAAAATTTACTGACTCCAAACTTTTAAATGGCTGTGTGTGTGTATATGTGTTGTTGTATTTAAGTTTTATGGTCTAGTCATTTTCCTGATGTCTATTATTAGTTACTTTTTATCCACATACAGTATATATTTTTACTATCAAAAGATGGCAGGTAGATTCTTAGCAGTACGTGAGTTATGAAGGAAAAAGTTCCAAACGGCCTTCCTGATTTCACAGCGTGTGTTGTGCATCTGCCAGCAGGATTCACCGAGAGCTCTTAAAAAGATGAAGTGTCTGTCCTGTGCTGTTCATCAGAGACTGACCCTCATTCACTCAGATGAAGCATCTCATCTGTGAGACGCCATCGAGATGACATTGTAATGGGCTCTGTCACGCTGATGTGCGGAGAGCCGCTAATTCTAAAAACAGACACGTCAAATCAGCGGCAAAGTACTTGAGTGTCGTACGGGTTACCATTCATGCTATTTTCAGCCTGTTATGATAGAGCCGAGCTCGTGGAGCGCGTTAAAGGGACTAAATAGGTTTCACGCTGCTTCTGGTTGACATCGTACGAGAGTGTGTCGTCAGTGAGCCTGTTTCCTAAGGTACATTTCATCTTCTTCCTGTACAGATGAGTGCGGTTGGCAGCTCCTGTTGGGGTTCTTCGGAAGGGCAGATCCTGGTTCACGTGCTGCAGAAACTGGCGCTGCCTACTAGGTGAGTTAATCGACTCGGGCTCCTCATCCAGCACCGCATGGGCCCCCGGTCGAGTCTCTTAATGCGACCCTCATCTTTGATCCATTCATGTTGCCGGCCGAGGCGTAGGCCTCTGATGAGAGCTTCCTTGAGCTCGGGCCTCACCCTCAGATTGATACAGGCCTATTGTGGACCCCCCTCCTCTTCCTTCTGCTAAAACGAGAAGGAATCCCTTTGAAGTTGCCCAGCCAAGCTTGGGAGGCAAAGCTTCAGCAATATTAGGTTCTTGGCAAAGCAGAGACGAATTATTGAAAACAATGCATAACTGAATGATGACAACACCAGAATGCTTTCCACTCTGGAGGCCCTTTGAATTAAGTTTTAAGAGTAATCCAGGTGCGATTTTTGGTTACTTCAAAAAAATGTTTCGACTTTCCTCAAGTTTAATTTATATACATAGTGCTTTTCACAATATACATTTAAAGCCGAATGCACGGCCTTTCAAAGTCTACTGTATTTGATAGAATATGTGGTTGACGCATGCGCATAAAGTTTTATAAACTATTTTTTTCCTCAAGTTTTGTTTTTTTTGCTTTTTAAAATAAAAAATACCTTAAAGAGTTTGTTTACCCAAAAATAAAAACTTGTCATTTACGTGTCATTCCATAAGACTTTCATTCACCTTTGAATCACAAATGAAGTGAAAATCTCATGACGAAAACGTACCTGTGGGAACTTTTTAGCGAAACGCAAAATACGTAGCGCCATGTACATTTCGTGATATATTTGATGTGAAATGTCCACTGAGTGGCGCTAAAAGAGTTCTTTTTTTATTTAATTTTTTTCCGGAACAGATTAACGTACATATGGTACGTTTTATGTGACGTTGGTTTTGTACGTGTCACCGCAGTTCTAACTTGAAATGTCCATTGAGTGGCGCTATAACTCGAAAGTTCCGTGACGTTTTAAAATAACGTACCATCTGCACTGCACCTTAACCTACCCAATAGTATGAACAAAAGTGATTGTGACATAAAAACGCAATCGCAATCATGCCGTTTTAGCTTTTTTTCCCCCCTCTCATCTTTGAGCTCTTTCATTGTGAGTTTTTCACAAGATTCGTACCTAAGGATTCTGCATACTAAGTCCAATTCCGTGCTGGCTGAGCTACCGAGCAAGCTTGTTATGTCCGAAAAGCAAAACATGGAGCTGTAATCATAACTGTGTAAGAAAACGATTACAAGTGCTCACTGTTTCACTGCCTCTAGTGTTCATTTCTGTTGGAAACTGCAGTGATATGTACTTATTAATAGGTATTTCGCATTTTGCGAAAACGTTCCCACAGGTACGTTTTTGTCATGAGATCAGGTTGGAGCGGAAACCTGAGAGGCTACATTAAAAGCCCAATTCTCCCAAAATTTTACAAGAAAAGTTTGTAAAAGTAATGCATTCAAATATAAACACTGATCAGCGCACATAAATAGAGCATGTTAAATATAAATGGAAGCTTAAACTGTGCTTACTTGACCAGTGAGGATTGTTCATGCACGTCAAGTACATTTGAGCTTCTGTTTACTATGTTTGATGTACTCTACGTGTATGTATTGATCAATATTTATAAGTGAATAAAAGCCTAAATTAAATCGGTTTTGTGTAAAGTGATTGTGTCTCTCAGAAGACTTTTATTACACTGCTCGACTCATTTGGATTACTTTAATAAAACCTGAGAGATTTGTGTTTCTCCAATGAAAGTGCTTAAAAAGGTTCATAAAGACATTGTTAAAGTTTTCATTTGCGTTTCTATAGGCTTGGTGCAACAGTAACAGAATTTTCATTTTTGGGTAAACTAACACTTACTTGTATTAAACCATTGAATGTATATGCAGATGACGTTGGATATGTTATATTAGTCTTTTTAACCCCAGGTTAATGCCACTTTTAACCCTAGTTACACAGTTTCACACTTGTAGTTTTAAATAGGGTTAGCACTGATTTTGCCCTTTACTTTAAGACGCATTGCTGGTCCTGTGCTTAATTAATCAGTGCATTTTTTTAAATGCAAAAAGCAGCAGATAGATGCTTAAAGAAATAGGGCTTGATTTCAAAGATATTATCTGCTCCACAATACATTGGAAACTTGCATTCTGATCTGGCAGCCTTTCTAATATAGAACACTCACTTCATGATCCACTCAATTCGCAATGGAACTGCTTGTTTTCAAAAACATGGCATTTCTTAACATTATGTTCGTAAAATGTGTCGAGTGGGTTTCATGTTGTAGAGCAATACATTTATATATATATTGCTAAAACTATGCAGCATTAGTTTCAACCGAATTCTGTTCTGCTAATTTATGGTTTCTTGCTTTACGGCATATCGGACAGACAATGATAAATACACCTCAGAAAAAAAATCTATCTACTTGATTTTTAAATAATTCATGCTCAGTAGTGGCACTTAAAGGAATTGAATTAGCTCAGGTTACCTCAGTTTTCATTTGGAGAAATATTTAAATTAGTAATTAATTTAGGGTGAAATTCACAGTGTTTGCATCAATAATGTATGTGGACAGCGCTGTTATCTTATTTAAGCAGGTCTGTGCTTGGCACTGCTCTCTAACTACCATATTCATGAAGTAAACAACCATTGTGAATAACTTTTGACAATGAGCTAATGTATTTAAATAATCTAGTTCAATTCTGGTACAAAAACACTCTCTCATATACAGGTTAAAAGTATCAATTTCCAAGCATAAGCTGATGTAGTTCTTTATGATGTCCTTCAGCTTACTGTCAGTCCATGCTAGAAGACTGAAGATTGATGCCTTGTTGTGTTTTTCCACCTTAGAATGCATTTTCACAGTCAAAGCAAAGTTCATTTTGTACGATGTCAAAAAACAACATGGAGGACACTGCTTTGCACAGAGCTGAAAATATGGATGAGAGTGTGCTTGGGGAACAGCTTGATGCTTATTTTGCGCCTGCTTCCTGATCCGTCACTTTCTAATACGCTGTCGCTCATCAGGACAATGTACACACACCTGACAGGACAAAATCATTTGCAGCATCTCACAAGTGTGCACACCAGATAGGCCACTGTGACGGACAAGGGCTTCTGGTTACCAACTTAAGGCAATGAGCTTGAGACTTGCATTGTGTACTTGCCATAAGTGAACGGATTTTTCACACATAAGTTGAAATTAACTTCATTGTTTCTGTTTTGGGACACAAAAACACATGTGGCGTATTCCATCCACTTTTCTTCCAGGTCCCAATCAGACATGGCAGTGGAATCACTAGCTGCAGAGATTCTGAAGGGCATCGGGTCCCAAGCAGAACTCAGATCCACAGAACAGTTTCACACCTGGTATTTAATATGTATATATGTGTTACTTTCCTTTTGTATCTGTTACTGTGATTTATAAGTGGCATTTTGCAAGAGACTATTGAACTCTTGTGACGGTGGTTGTAAAATGTACTCTGTAATTCTAGAATGATTGCACTACTTAAGCTAATTTAAAATCACATTTAGTGTATTCCAAGAATAAAAATGTCCACAATTAGATAAATTTAAAGTCCATTTTATTGTTTAGCCAGGTCATTACCAAGTCTCCAACCAACAATTGCAGGCTACAATAATTAGAGGTTCTTTTCAAAACCTTTCTAAAGCTACCATCAAAAAAATAGATCAAGACAGGGGGAAAAAAACAAAAAGGGAAAACTGGCCCCAACTGATTGCAAACCCTTTGGAACATTTGTGATTTCTTTAAAGCAAGAGAGCTGATATTTGGACTTCTCCAATTCTTGGTTTTATACAAAAGCTACACAATGTTACATTTGATAAGAATACAATTCAACTGATTAATTAGTGTTCTACACCATAAACTCGATAAAATCTTGATGGATCATTACCACTATAACTCAACACTATGAGAGAGAAAGAGAGACAGTCGAAAGGAATACAAAGTTCTGCAAAATAAAAGACGAGTACCATAAAGCAAGCTAGATAAGTACCATTACAGACTGAAATATCCTTTGAAAAATTAAAAGTAATAAAAAGTACAGGCAAGGCTAAGGTTGAAAATTCCATCTTAGGATTTGCTTTTTGGGCTTTCTTCTGTCAATCACACCAAATTCTGACCGACCAAGACCAGAACAAAAGTTTTACTTCCATGTGTTCCCATAGGAAACTCAGCTTGTATTAGTGTGTCAGGCACTTTCAGAGAAACTAGCCCACGCTCTTGAGCCCGCTCAGCAACTCTACAGGCCAAAATCACAATGCAGGTTCATTCAGATCAGACGATACAGCTGCAGCAGAGAGAAAAGAGGGGACAAACAGATTAGAATCCCATTCACGGGGAGAAACACGCACATACAGGACTGTAATGAATTCAGATGCAGTTCAGATTAGTTCTGCTACCGGCGTGCTTTACTCCAGCCTTTCAAATCTCCTACACACAGTGCGGTCAGCACAGACCAAACACAACCGGCCATTCGCATCGAGTGCACGTTCGGGCGTCTTGGTGCCTCACCTAAAAAGTCATTGTATTTACAGATCGGTATCGAACCAGGCCAGCTGATTGCTGTCGCCCGGCGGGAGGCCGTCGATCAGGTCCTGGGCGTGGCCGAGGTCGGGCAGGCCATCTACGGGGTAATCTGGGCCCGGGTGGTGCCCGCCCATCTCGTGCTCCATCATGGGATCCATGACCATGGCATCCTGCCCGTAACCTCCGGAGTGGAAGGAGCGGTAGCTTGGGTCTGGAGGACGAGGGGAGTGGATGGGAAGTGGAGGGACCACACACACACACGTACGTTAGAGGGAGCATATTAAACGGGCAGTTCACAATAGCACAACCTCAGACCCACAAGACCAGAGAGAGAACACAAGGCGTTTGACCCAACTCAACTGGAACTCGACATTCTCTAGGAATATGGTGCCCTATTAGAGCTTTTTTATTTTTTGTTTGTTTGTTTGGATGGATTATCTAAAATAAAATTAACCTAGAATGGTCATTTTCTATGTAATATCTCTCTATTGAGAAAAAACATGCAAAATTATAAACAAATGCAAATATAAATTGAATTCAATTTAGTAATTTTAATTATTTCAGAATTATTTATACATTCAGACTGATGGTTAAGCACTTTTTTTCTGACCATTTGTTGAAATCAGGGCTGGGGGAAATATTTTAAGAGATGAATCCCAAAAGAGAAAATTAATTAAGGCTCATGAGATTACAAACTCATATGACTGATTTCTTCCATAAACCACGAAATATGTTAAGCAGAATGACATGAATTAATGAAGTCACTACTCTTTCTTTGTACAGAAAAGGAAAACAAGTGAATGGTGATTGAAACAGTCAGATCTAACATTATGCCTAACATCTCATTTCTTGAGAAAGTCTCACAACATGAGGGGTGCATGAAAGACCATTTTCAATCCTCAAAGAGTTCCAGGCCTTATTTAGTGCCCTGTCTTAATGGAAAGCGCCAGGCGTGTCTCTAGGTTTGGTGGGTGAAGGCTGATGAAGCAGTGGATTAGTGAGTATCACACCCAGATGCTGAGAGCGGATCTCATTTGTGAAAATGATGAACTTACCGTCCTGCCTGTAGCCCAGAGGCTCTCCCTGCGCACCGATGTCCAGCCCTAGATCTCCAGTCTGCAAACAGACACACGAGAAAAAGATACATAAGAGACACACTCATTTCAGGCTCAAATGCTGCATATATCAGGACCGAATCAGTTCCGCTAATGCTTTCAGAGTGCTTGAGGCTCATAAAAACAATAATGCTTTGTTAGAAAGAATCACCTGCCCAGTATATTCACAAATATAACACCCACATCTGCCATAACCGATTCTGTAATGCGCTGGGAATTTATAGGCTTAATCTACAGCAGGGCTCTGTGCCAGCGTTGATTGCAGGATTTAGCAGAGATGAGCCCCCTTACCTCGTTCCAGGCCATGGGCTCAGTTCTGAACAGAGAGCTGGTGAGCTCCACAGACAGTCGTTTCTTGTAGTCCTGGGGCTTATCCTCAGACATGCGGAACAGAACTGCAGCAGCGTACGTGGCTGTGGGCGAGAGATAGCAACGTTAGTGTGACTGAGAAAACATTCAAGCCAGCCCTGCTCACCCCAGTGGAAATCCATGCATAGCTGGGAAAACAAATCTGCATAGTGTTTTGTATTCATACTTGCTTCTCTGTGTTTATTCTGTAGAAGTTTAACTCAACTTTATGTTGAGACATCGGGAGGCAGTGACACAGTGTGCTGCCATTATTTATATGTAATTGATGTCTTTCTGCATTATTCTATGGCGGTTGAGCTCGCACACACGTGCTGCTTAAGAGGTGGAGCACACACACTCACCGACTCCCTCGTTTCTGGAGTGGAGGAGCTCTGTGAGAGGAGCCGTGGCTCCTTCTGCCTCGATGGCCTCAGCTGCCTCCTTATCCTGAGCCAGCTCACACAGCACTCCTGCAGCTACACGCTGGATGTTCTCAATAGGAGAATACAGCAACTGCAGAGAAAGACAGAGAGAGACATGTCAGACATGTCAAAACTAAAAGTTCAGTATATGCAAATATAATACCAACTTAATGGAAGTAAAAAAGGGTCAAAAGGGTCATAATTCTCAATTCAAAAAAAAAAGAAAGTATAAAGGTCCTTGCACAGAGTCTGAAATTCTCATCCGAAATTTGCACGCATTAAAAAATAAATACGGCATGTTGTCAATCATGTTTAACAAGCATACAATCTATAGATAAAACAAACAGCAAATCAAGACAATGAACAGAGAGACAGAATGATAATTAGAACAAAATAGAAAAATGAACAAAAACAAGCCACCAAGTGATAGTCAATAGACAGATTTAGGGCTGAACGATTTTGGAAAATAATCTAATTGCGATTTTTTTTACCAATATTGCGATTGCGATTTAATATGCAATAATTTTTTTAAGCTCTTTATGAGCTATAAATCATTGTATAGTATGACCAACACTATTAGATAGATTAAACATAAATGTTCTTTTCTGTAGGCCAGGCCTATATGTTACGATGAAATTAGGTGATGCATGAATTGATATGAATGACATTTTTATTTAACAACTACAATCACAGTAGTATATTGACTGATTTGTTGAACTTCCAACCTTGTAAGCATGTAATAATTATGACAACATAAAGCACTGACAAATAAGCCTGATGTAAACATGAATATGAAAGTCAGTAACAAATCACACAAACAAAATTAGATTGCAGAAATATAAAAACAAGTCTGTTGCTTTACCACACTACTTTAGGCAATTCAAAGTCCATGTAATAAACATATGTAAACATGTGGACTGCACTAAACACTCTCTGTTAAAGGTGCAATAGGTGATTGTCTTCAGAAACATTTTTTGTTATGCTGGTTGAAAGTCTCTTC